TGGTAGCATGAGTGACTTCTCAGAGTTTCCATCTTGGTCTTTCTTGTTTTAACCCACCACCACTCAGTCCCACATCTAGACACCTGGTACTGCCTGTTCTGAGACCTTTGAAAGTTTTGTGGGGTAAATCAGTTTGGTTTTCAGCTTTCCCCTCTGCTTACTTGAGATTCCGTTTTCTCAGGTCTGATCTCAGTACCACTGAACCATTTGCTTTTAGCTTCTAAAATTTTGTTGCTTTTTACCCCATTCTTATGGATTTATAGCCTTAAAAAAAACCCTCTTTATTGTATACTAGTGCAATTTGGGGAGGTTGGGGACAAAATTAAGTGTATGTATTCAGTCTGCCATCTTACCCCAGAGGTCTGGTGTTAATATTTTATATGACAAACCAACCATGTTTAATCTTTTTTTTAATTAGAGAATTTTATTTACTCCCCCCAATACAAATTAGCATTTTTCATCTATAAAGGAATATTAGCAAAACTTTTTGTGAGAGATCTTATCTCTTGCTCTGGCAACCTCTGATGTTCTGTATTCAGAAGTGTAATCACTGTGTGGATTATACTTCTGTTTTGGGGGACCACTTGTGAAAACATGAGTGATAAAACCTGAAAACTTTATACAGAAGGTTTCTGAATTTTTTTTGAAGTTGTTTGTGAAGATATTGTAGAAGAGATATGAAGAGAGTATTTTCTCTTGGTGGATTGCTGCAATATGATTTGTGACCCAATGTCACAATAAATATTTGAGAATACATGTTATCTCCAGTAGGTGTGACCTTATGGGTTGATACTTCATCTTAGCATTCAGAAACTGTGAATTAGCATTGTGAAAACCCTCCCAAGTGACTGTAAGAGCTTCCCTTCCCCATTTTTGAGAGTTTGCAGGCTATAGAGAAACAAGTTTTAGGTAGTTCTCTGGGGAAAACAGTGACTTCATGCTTGAAATGTGTAGGTATAGTACCAAGGAAAAGGTTTAAGTTGTCTAAAGAGGATTCTATAATGGGCATCAGGGCTCACTAGGATTGAAAATAAGCAGATAAATGGTCTATGTAGAAATGAAACCTTAGGTTGAAATGGGAAAATGCATTTATTTCTGAAAAGAATTTTTTCACTGTGTATTTTATTTTATTTATTATTATTTTAAAAAGATTTTTATTGGGGAATTGGGGGATGGGAACAGCGCTGGGGAATTGGGGGAAGGGGAGCAGACAAGTTGCTGTCCTTTTGTTCTTCAGTCTAGTTGTGGAGGACGTTGCTTCACTGGCTCAAGTTGGCACCATCATTGCGCTCTTCCTGGAGAGGCAGATCAGTCGCCGGCTTCTGGACGGCCGCTCACTGTGGCTGCTGGCCACTCATGCTGGCTGCTGGCTACTCACAGTAGCTTATCGCAACCCACTGCAGCAGGGGCTGCAGCCTAGCCGTCGCCGGCGATTCATAGCAGCCCAGCTCCAGGTTGAGCATCTTAGCTGTAGAGGGCAGTGTCACTGGCCCTCATATGTAGGATCCGAACCAGGGCCCTCTGGCGTCCCAAGCCAGCTCTAAACCAATGCGCCACTTGGCCGGCCCTCACTGTGTATTTTAAAGTTTTGTCTTTTGTTCTTTCCCTGACTCCTTCATTTCTACCTTGCTTTTCCTTTGCCCCTTTGTCTCTTTATCTCTCTCTTATTGTCCCCATCCCACCTTTATTTCCCTCTCTCCCTCTCTAATCAATTAAGGAAAAAACTTCCCGAGTGCCACTATGTGCAGACCCAACGCTAGAAGTTTAAGATACACACAAGAATAAGGCACAGTCTCTCCCCTAACCAAATAATCACCATATGTTGGTTAAGTGTTATAAATAAAAATATGTAAATTTGCTGGTGGAGGATAATGGAAGGACCTTGGGGTGTTAGAGAGATCTTCAAGGAGAAGGTGATATGTGAGTGGACCTTGGAGGTTGCACAGGAGCTCACCTGGTGCTAAACTAAGAAGGATTATCCCAAGGAAAGGGAACAGTGGATGTGAAGATGCAGAGATGAGAACGTGCATGGAAAATTATAGAAAGTGCAGGTAGTTAGGTGTGTTGGAGCTTAGAGTGCTGGGCAGGGTGAGGGAAAGGGGGCTAGAAGGAATAAAGCTCTTTCAGGTTCTAAGAAGAGCCCTGTCCTGAGGTGATCATGGTTTAATATGAAGAGACAGAGGGGAGCTCAGGAAACTCTTAGCAGGCTGATTTTGAGAAATGGATCATTAGCTTCTCTTGAGATCATAGCTGTAGCTGACACCTGCTGTCCCTGCTGCCTTCTCTAAGGGTCTCCTCCTTCATCCTCACCAAGAGGGAGACTTGGTTGGTCAAGGTCTCATGAGAAATTGCTTGAACAGTGGACTTTCTCAGGACCAGCCTCTGTGCGGTCACCTTTAGCTCAGCCTCCCATCTCTGGTTCAGAGATTGTGTCCAGGAAATCAGGGTCATAAAGTACAAGGAGATCTTGGGGCAGAAATAAATTTCATGGCCCATATTTTCAAAAGACGTAAGCATGGCAGATATCAAAGGTTTCCTGGACTGCCCAGCACAGAGAGGCCAGGTTTCACCCTGTCCAGCACAAGCCATGCCAGGAGGAGCTAGCCAATTTGAAAACTATTGCTTAAAAGCAGAAATTAATTTGATCACCGTTCTGGAGGCTAGAAGTCCAACATCAAGGTTCTGGCTGATTCGGTTCCTGGTAAGGGATCACTCCCTGGCTTACAGATGGTCACCTTCTCACTATGTCGTCACATGGCCTTTCCTCTGTGTGTGNCAGATGGTCACCTTCTCACTATGTCGTCACATGGCCTTTCCTCTGTGTGTGGGGGGGGGAGGGGGGAGTTGGGAATGGGGGGAGGAGAGATAAAGATAGAGATAGCTAGATGATAGATAGATAGAACTTGCCAGTGTGTACTAGCTCTCTGGTGTCTTCTTATATTGGACCAGGACCACACCCTTATGACCTCACTTAAGCTTAATTACGTCCCTAGAGGCCCCATTTCCAAATATAGCCACACTAGGGTTTAGGGATTCAACATATGAATTTGGGGGATGGAGTGAGGATATAAACATTTAGTCCATAACAGATAGTATATACTAACTTACAATTCTAATTTATGTTTTTATTAAGAACAGCATGTTAAATTGTAAAATATGAATTATTAAAAGCTATTGCCTTATAGTCTTTTTTCTTTTTTTTTTTTTTTACATAGTTGAGCTCACACAGTATATAGTATTTTTAAAGTTAAAATTAATGTAGCAACATTGAGAAGTCCCAGATGGGATGTAATATAAACATAGGCTCAATAACACGTCTTATCTTGAAGATTTTCTTAGTCTTTCTAGTTAGAAAAGCAAACAGATAAACAAAACAACCAGGAATAACTGTACAACTCAACATGAGTTTTAAAGATGCAGAAATCACAAAGGCTGAGCAAGGTTGCTAGGTTTCTCTTTTTAGTGGGGTCGTGGCCGACTCAGATTCTCTCTTGGGAAACCCTGCTTGGGGTTAGCGTTGGTGCAGACACAGAGGGCGTAAAGGTAGGGGTAGCCATTCAGCAGTAGCTGCCATTGTCTGGGAAGACAAAACACAGCCTGGACTGGCAGGGAGCCGTGGGGCAGAGATGAAGACCAGATGCAACTTGGGAAACAACTTTGTGATCTCATTCTCTTAACTTGTTTCTAAACACCTCTTTATTTTTCCTATCCACTCCCTCCCCACCTCACCTCCCACCCCATCTGCACCTCGCCACCAGCAGGAATACACACACCCTCCTTCCACGCAAGCAAACAAGATCCATTTTAACCAATGAGACCCTTGATGGCTTTTTCTCCTGTTAGTTTATGATTCAAAATAATAAACAAAGATCCTGTCATAAATATTTGTCTTATTCCACACCACTGACTATGTGAGTGGATATACACATAAACCCACACAGGGTCATACGCACTGCTGACCTGGCCACCTGAGATACCCTGTAGAAAGTGCCCAGCACAGTGGGCCTGGCATGTGAACCCAAACACTTCACTTCCTCCCATGTATCTTGGCCAGCTCCAGCCATGATTTAGGGACTAAAAGCCTTCTCACTCCAAACTCAACTAATCTGCATGGTTTCTAGCATGCTTTGTATTTTTAGCCTTTTTCACACATCCCCACTCCCCTTGGATGGCAGACTCCCTAATCACAGAACTGCAGCTCACCCACTGACACCCACTGTGGGAGCTGACTACTGAGGTCCCTACCTGCCCCCAGGCCTGGATTATCGCTTTCTGTGGCCGTCATTTGCATGTGAAAATAATGTCTGCCTCACAAGACTGTAGCCCAAACAACAGCCTCTTTCACCTTGAGCACAAGGTCTAGAAATGTGAAGGGAAAAATTTCCCGGTTTCTCTAAGAATTTGTGTCACTTTTCTGAAAAATTGGAAATATTGAGTTACAAAGGGTTTTGTTTTGTTTTCAACAGCAAGCCTAATGTTTAAGACAAGTGGCTCATAACTGTTACCCAACTCTTCATACTTTCAAACTTATTTCTGGTAGGCCATCAGATTTTGGTTAAATGTGTATATGTGAGCTGGTGTGTTAGAAATCTCGCAGTGCTCTTGTCAGATGTTCTTTGTCAAATGGCCCAGATACAATGAACACTTTTTGAAACACTGAGTATATTTCTGCTAGTAAGTAGAGACGAAAAAAAAGTGAAACCATTTAGTAAGAAGAAAGGTGTAGGTCAATTCATGCTGCTACAGATTTCTTGAATTTAAGATGGGAAGTCAGCATAATCGTGACCAAGGAAGGTAACAATAATTGTTTCCTGAGTGCTCTCTGTGTGCCAGGCGCAGTGCTGAGCATTTTACATCTTGCTGCACCCTCACACCTATGGGATGCTTGTGGGTTATTGTCCCATTAAGATGACAAAACTGAGGTTCAGAGGGTCTGTCTTGCCTGAGGCTGCACGAGTAAGCAATGGAGCCAGAATTTAAACCCTTGCCTCTGACCTTAGGATCCATGTACTACCTAACCTTCAAGCTCACACTGCTGCTAGCCATTGGGGCTGCTGTGCTACTGACTGAATTGTGAAACAAGCATTTAGGGTGTGGTATTTAAAGTACATTTTTGGGAAGTCGCTAAATCATAAAGTGAAAGGAGACTCTAGTCAGTGTTTTGCTTTGGGAGACATGAAGCCAGGGTCCTCTTAGCCACTGCCTGTGGAACTCAGGGCCAGGACCCTAACATCTGTGGGTCTCTGTAGCCTCGTAATAAAACTTGATTTTAGATTCGTTATCTGTTAGGAGTCAGTGGGCTGTGGTCCCTTCTCCACCTCACCCCTCATCCGCTGGAGTGCAGAGCAGAGGACTCTGCCAGTGATTGGGGTGGGGGGCACTTTTACCTCCCGTTTCCTCACCTGTAAGACAAATAGACTTCTTCCAACTCCAGGGCTGGTTCTTCCAGTCCCAGGCATCTGACACCTTGGGGCAGAACTTTGTGTCACACCACCTGCTGACTCCTTGTGCTTCTCTGTGCCTGCCGGCATGGGAAACATGCCCTAAGTGGGAAAGTGTGAGAATGTGCTACCAGGTAGAGGAGAATCTCAGTTTGGGCCATCCTTTGATGTCTCTGAAAATAACAAAACAAAGCATCAGAAATAGCAGGAGTGCTGCTGGGAGCTAAGACAGTTGGATAGGTAGTTTGGGAAAGTCCTCTCTACGCTAGGTTCTGAGGGCACGCAGAGCTGAGTAGGAAATACGGAGGTCATTCTTTTAGGCTGTAAGTGCCTCAAGGACAGGAATCACATTTTACTGACTTTTTATTCTGCATCTTAGAAAGTACCTGGTGCTTGGCTGGCACACAGTTACACTTTGCTGAGTGACTGGGAAAGGAATCAGAGTAGACCAGGCTCCAGTCAGGCAGATGGACACAGTCCTAGAAAATACAACTCAGAGCAGCTGGGAAAATGGATATGAGCTGTAGGACAATGAAGCCAATCAAACAGATTGCTGGAGCACAATCTGTAAAGAAGTGGACGGACTGGTGGGGTGGAAAGAACACCTGTGGATGGGCTGGCGTACTGTCCACACATCTCTTCCAGCCTCCTTTTCTGTCTTCCACCCACGCACCCTTTCAGTAGTTATGGAAGCCTGCTGAGTGGGTGGGTGGAGCTAGGCTTGAGGATTCAGTGGAAAATAAAACAGACATGGCCCCTGTCCTCATGCAACATGGAGAGGATTGGGGAAGATCATTGTTAATGACAGTAGTATGTGCTTTTTCATCAGTGCTACCAGATCACAGGCTCCTTACTAGCTGTATGACTGTAGGCAAGTCACTGAAATCCCCTGAGTTTGCTCATCTGTTAAATGGAAATAAATACCTCCCTAGAGGGATATTTTCAAGGATTAGAAATAATATTATGTGTCAACAGTGGCTATTTTTTCTTGAGTTTGTGTGTGTGCGTGTGTGTGTGTGTGTGTGTGTGGGGGGGTGTTCTCTTTCTCTGCCCACCCACAGCTGCTCTCCAGAAAATAATACTTACTGAATCTTGTAGAGAATAACTTTTCAGTTGTATTATTTGGACGAAGATTTCTCCTGTTAAGCTTTTTCCTGCTCCTCCTACGCTGGCAGAAACCAAAATGCTAGATTTCTTAAGGTATAACACCTTAAAATCCCCATTGCAAGAAATCATTAAAAACATTCAAAAGTAATGAATTCAAATAGTAAATCCGTAATTACTGTCCAAATGAACACTATGTTAAACTTAAACATGCCAAATGTGATCATTATAAGAGCAGGTATGTATGGCACATTCTTAAGTTCCTAAAGTCATAAAGAGACTTTAGTTGTGGCCTAAAACAAACTAATAAGAGCTACCAGACAAACCCTGTATGTTTCTACTTTTTCTCCAATTTCTATTTGGAGTAAGAGGAAAAGTGTTTTTGGCTTTCTCATGTGGCAGTGACTCAGGTGGAAGCCACTTTTCAGAGCACTGTCCCCTCACAATTACTCCCCAATCCCTGGTTCCTATTCTGTGAACAAATTTGCTCATATGGCATTGGGGGGAAGCACTGGAAGACTGGGTGCCCATTCTGGCCCTGTTGCTTTCTCACTCTGTGACCTTGAGCAAATGAACTGTCTGTGCTTCAGTTTCCTCATCTGGAAAATAGAGAATAATGACACTTGCCTCACAGATTGTTTTCAGATTATATGAGGTAATAAACCTTGTTTCCTCAATTCTAAGACACTATCAATTTTAAGACACACCCAATTTTCAGGTGGAAAAAACCATTACATTGATTGTAAGAGCCAAGTTTCAGGATATCAAAATGTAAAAAAAAAAAAGCAAAAAAAAACCCCAACGACTCAAATTGAGGAAATACAATAAATAAGAGTGCTTTGCCGTTGGGGGTTCTTTTGATTGTGGACATTCTCTGTGGTGGGGAAGCTGCGATCTGTGCCCAGATTTCCCTGTTACTCCCCTCTGCCGAGCAGTCTGAAAAGGGGCTGGCTTTTTAGCTTTTCTCTTGTTGCCCCTCTACCCTCCAGTCAGGTGCCAAGCCCAGTGTGGATCCGTTTGGGTACACTGTGATTTCCTTTTTGTGTGGAAATTCCACCTTGTGGAAAATCAGAAAATACTTAAGTAATCTCTTCTGGACCAAGCAGTCACTCCCCTTCCATGGGTTTCTTTTACACCTGACCTAGTGCCTGCCCAACCATTTTCATGTCACTGCACAGCCAGCAAATGATAATATTTGTATCGTGCTCCAGGGCAAAGGGAGGAACAGTGGAGCAGGAGGCCAAAATCTTCACCATCTGGAACCCGTTCAGGGCATTCCAGTGTGGCCCACCTCCTCCAGGGAGTTTCTACAAAAAAAGAAAGAAGAAGAAATCCCTGGGAATGTTCACTGGTTTTTGCTGGAGAATTTTACGGCCATTTAGTTTTTCAAAGCATTTTTACAATAAAAGTCTGATCTCTGGTGTCTTGATCAAAATACCCTCCTATGGGTACCATAAACAAACAAATTCTGATACCCGTTTGTATGTCAGAGCCACTAGGAAAACTTGTTACACACACACACACACACACACACACACACACACACACACAGGTACATATATACTATATGTACTATATATACTATATGTGCCTCTGTGTGTGTGTGTGTGTGTGTGTGTGTGTGTGTGTGTGTGTGTGTGTGTTCCTTAATAGCCTGAAGTTCTCCAGGTGATTCTTTTTTTTTTTTTTTTTTTTAAGATTTTTATTGGGGAATTGGGGAAGGGGGGAAGAGCCAAGTTGTTGTCCTTCAGTCTTAGTTGTAGAGGGCGCAGCTGGCTCAGCTCCAAGTCCAGTCGCCATCTGGCCGCCCATTGGCAGGCCGCGACCACTCAGCTCAAGGTGCTGTGTTCAATCTTAATTGCAGGGGCGGGGGGGAGGGGTGCAGCCCACCATCCCATGTGGGAGTTGAACAGGTACCTGTTATTAGGAGCACGTGCTCTCACCAGCTGAACCATCCTGCCACCTGTTGGCAGCTCAGCGGCAGCTCAGCTCAGGCACAGCTCACTGGCCCATGTGGGAATCGAACCAGTGACCCTGTTGCTCAGAGCTTGTGCTCTTAACCAACTGAGCCACTCAGCCAGCCCTCCAGGTGATTCTTTATGTGCCACCAGATCTAGGTACCACTGCCTTAAAGGCCTTTGGAGGGTTTCACCTGGCACTGGCACTACATATATATATATATATGGTTATCCTGTGTTATTCATTTACTTGTTGGCCCTGTACATGTAGCCTTCCTGATGCACAGTGGTCCCACCCGTGCACATATGCCTAGTCTTGCCCCCGGTGCGTGAGGAGGACATTGCAATGAGGAGGGAGTCTGCTGATCTGCGGGGCCAGAAGCTCAGCCTCCCAGACTTGCCATTTCCTACCAGCACAGTGTCCCTCAAAGTTTGGTCTAGGGACTGCCTGCCTCAGAGTCACCTAGAAGCTCATTAGAAAAACAGTCTGAATCAGACTCTCAAATCTTGCATTTTAAACAGCATACTGGTCATTCTTATGCAGATTCATGTTTGGGAAATGCTGCATATGGGTGACTTAATAATCCCATTGATCTGTAAAGGGTTAATTTCAAGTTGAGCATAGACATTGTCACTTCTCGTCAAATGCAGACCTTTTACTGCATAGTAACCATCCAGACGCACAGCTAGCCCCTTCAAGTAACCAACCTTGCTTCTAGTACCACTTATTGGGGTGGCAACTTACAGAAGAGTATTTAGGTCCAAAATTTCTATCAGTGAAGCCAGTGGTGTTACAATTAAAACCTTGGTATGATGGCTTGAATACACATAAGATTCAACACATCCCACCCTTGTCTACTTTAATCTGGCATTTGGAGTGTTCTTGCTTTGGCCATTATGGGTCTCTCAATCAGAATGGAACTTCTAGGATAAGTAGTTTTTAATTTAGGATTCATGAGCCCCTGAAATTGCATGAAAAAATTTATGTGAATAAATATATTTTTCTAGGAAAGGGTCCAGAACTATTGCCAGACTCTCAAAGGCATGTTTGACCCTGAAGGGGAAAAGATTAAGGATTCGAGCAGAGGAATGTTTAAAGATTAGAATGGTGAAGAATTGTAAACAACATCTCATGCCCTGGTTAGGACTTCTGAACTTGGGCAAACCAAGCCAAAAGTAAATTGTGATCTCCAGCATTCCCCAAAACTTACCTGGTTTCTGTCCTCTTTTCTTCCCGCCTCATCTTCTCTTCCTTTAGTTTTGCCCCTCTTTCTCTGTGTTTCTTCCCCAACCTTTTTCTCTCTGTTTTCAACTCTGCCTCCATCTCGCCGTCTTGCCATCTGTCCTTGTTTTCCACCCCCTCTCTTGTCCCCTCCCTTACTGACCTAAATAGGACACAAAGCCCGCTCTTCTATTTGCTCTACCTACGGGATAACATTTTATGTTGGTGGTTCTTCTTTTTAAAATTAAATGAGTAGGACATTTAGTATCTCTCTGAGAGAGGAAGAAAAGAATACCTTGGGCACCCGGAATTCCGGGCTTTTTGGATTTGGCCCCTGATGGAAGGTGTTCTG